AAAAAAAGTGTGAACAAAAAAAAACCTAGAGAATGAAGAGAGGACTGTACTTACTTGGTGGACAACACACAGTGACTCGTAGCTTCATACATGGGAGGGGGGGTCCGTCGTCTGTGGACAGTGCTGGAAGGAAAGAAAAACAGAGAGAGAGTAACATAGCAGACTGATGTCTTTGACACTGGGAAAGAGGAATCTAAATTTGTTGCCACCAAATCGATGCTGTAGATTGCTAGCACAAAACACAAATACACACATAATCCAGGGCCATAAAAAGACTGCTTGACTCCGATGGAATGGCTAATCCATTAGCACAAGCAGGAGCTGTAACGGGCTTGTTAATGCTGAGCTCGGCAGGACCGACTGTGAGCCGTTCCACAAATGATGGACACTCTGATGCAGTCAGATGGGCTCTGCGCAGACATTCACACTTCATAAACGTACATGATTACACCATTACAACATTATTTACACACCTGGAGGTCATTTACTTTCAGCTCATCTCTAAGTGTGATCCAAGCGTGACTGCATGTATTCGATTTGAAGAAAATTCCACAACACAGTGGCATCAGAATGCTCAAACACAATCTAACATTTCCTCAGTGGGAAAAAAAAAAAGAATGAAACATGCTCGGACTATGAAACATTGCGGATGTTGATGATAATGTGTGTATATTTTACATTACACTACATTTCTGCTTTGTTCTTTACTGCAAATTAAAGGTTCTCTGAGTGTTTAAGCCCTTTAGGAAGTCAGTTGATAACATATAATGATCTTCTTTTACAGCTATACTGAAACTGCAGCTTGTCAAGCTGCTCATTCAAAGTTGTTCAGCTGCAGTCAAAAGAAGCTTTTTGAGAAAGTAGTTCAAAATGCAGCAAGCACACCAACACTGGAACTGTGAAGGCCTCAAAGTTTTATGATTAAATTTGGAGTCATTTGATGTCAATTTTCACACTACGTTTTCATCGAAAGTTGAGCTGAACCTGTCTGACAGATTATAAATGACCCAATTTTAGTCATAACACAATTTTGACAAAATGTGTAGTTACTGCATTTTGTCGTATCTAACTATATTCAAGATAGTTTTGCTTATTTCATTTATTTTTTTCAAACAGCAGTATTTATCTGACACTAATATTCAGGAACCCAATTAGGGTGACAGCATTATACCGCATTTGAACAGATCATTTTACACTAAATATCACCAATAACTCAACAAAAAACTAATAATTCAGTCACCATAATTTGTAGAACTCCAAAACATAATAATGAACAGCCCTATTTAACTAAATACTATATTAAAATTCATAACATAATAACAATATGTATTGTATAATATATTACAAAATAAAAATAAAACGTCTTCCCACTGGTAAAAAAAAAAGAAAACAGCAGAAATGTCATATGGAAATGATGCATGAATGCATGAAATAAATAAATAAATATATATATATATTTCAATTATATGTCAATCATCATTTATTTCATTTCAAGTAACATTTTTTTTTCTAAAACAGTTTTAGTAATTATTATTATTATTATTATTCAACATGTAAGACCCCATAAGACAACCATCTCCATGTCAAATAAAACAGCTTTTAATAGGCTACTGATTAGTTTTTATTTAATGAGTGCACACCATTTTAATGTATTTTGCAAAATACAAATTCATTAATTTCTAAATTAAAAGAAGAAAAAATATCCTCACTGCACCTTTAAAATGAGGACTCGTTCTGCTAGAGCCTGCTGCTGGTTTTTTAAGCATGCTACATTAACATCAAGGGTAAGTCTGACGTTACAGTTGTAGATATAGATAGAATTCATGTATATGAACATGTATACACACACACACAAACACCCTGCAACAAAGCATGTGCCCTAAAATGCCGTGTGTTTACGCATATGCATACCTCATTAGCATCAGGCCATGTTATGAATGCTGTAAAACTATAATGAATCTCTTCCCAGAATCTAAGCAGCAGGTCTGGAGGTAGACACGCTTAAATGTAGGATTGAGTGGGTCTGCCGTTTTAAAGAGGGTCTCTGGCTCCATGTTTAATCATAACCATAAATCTATAACAGCCATTTCAGTAACACATACCACAGCAGCGGCCATTTTCATCTAGTAGAGAGGCTTTTAACCGAACGTCTAACAACCGCAGATACATCCACTTAGTATGCACAGTAATTCCACATTGACGATAATGAGAACGGCTGACTCCAGCGGGGGTCTGTGTGTGTCGTTATGTGTGTTTTGGTTTTCTGAACCCCATATGCATTCGGCCATAACTTTTGGGTTTGTGTTCAAGGCATTTGAGTGACTCTGGATTTCAAAGCAAAAGTCTGAGACCACTAGTAAAACTGCCTCGATTTTTTTTATTGAATTCATTTTTTTCTTCAAAAATTATATTAGTAGCATAGAAATTTTAAGTGGAAAAACAGACATAACTTTGTCTTTGTATTTGGTATGGGGGTCAACGACATACAGTGCCCATGATAAACACAAGAAAAAACATCTTTTAGAAATCTAGTTTAAAACACACGTGCCATGTTTTTAGACAGTGCACTTTTTGTGTTCATGTTTGTTTCATATGGTGTGAAATTCTTTTAAATACCCTTTTCAAGAAAACTTAAAATTTAATTGTTCTCAAACGTACCATGTGGTTTAATCAAGGAAAAAGTCAAATATATATTTTCCTTGCACAGTATTATTTCTAAATATTTTTAAAAGTAGTATCATGAATTAAAAATTCATAAATATTAAATTTCTGGGGATGCACCACATGACATCTCACAACTTGAATTACTTGGTATTAAACCAACATAAAGTCATAAGCTTTCCTGTTGCACCATGCCTTTAATTTGGCAGGCAAAGTTTTTAAAATATTAATAAGCAGTTTTGCAGTTTAACATTTATTTGTATTAATTTTAATAATTTAATATTTTTAATAATAGTAATAATAATAATTATTATTATTAGTCTTTATAATAAATTAAAAACAAACAAAAAAAAACTAAGTAAAACACTCATTATAGAAATGTATTCAGTCAATGTATACATTTTATGTACATTTTTATTTTTTATTTTTTCAGCACGTTGGTTGCACCATGACTTTAATCTGGCAGGCAATGTTTGTAAAATATTAATAAGCAGTTTTGCGGTTCAATATTTATTAGTAATAATTTTCATATAAAAAATTATTATTATTATTATTATTATTTATAAGAAAAATTATTAAGAAATACATTTTTTATTTTAAAAAATGACATTAATCTGAATACAAAGATTAAGACAAAGAAACAAACATGCTCATTATAGGAGTGTATTCAGTCAATGAATGAATCTTATGTACATTTTTAGTGTATATTTTAATCATAAAAAATGGCATCATGTTATTGACCAATGTCTCTCTGTTGATTTCATTACAGTTACACTGAAGCTGAAAACTTGATCCATGTTGTCAATCTAAAAGGAAACAATCCAATGGGAGAGTCACTTACAGGCACTTCTTGTATTAAAGTCCAGTTTGTCTTGAACTCTTTAGTAGTTATCTCTTCCATTTCATCCTTGAATGCTCTAACTCGTACTAACACACACAGACAAACTACTACTTGAATTTAGATCGGACACACTGATCCCTTGTTTTCAGCTACAGGATTGAGCTTAAACAATTAAAAAGACAGACACATTGTTACGCTTTCTTTGAAGTGAACAATAGACACACACACAAGCAGGGTAGGGTAGGGTTCGTGAAGTTTGACACAATGGCTCTGTGCTGTGTATACACTCTCATGCTTGAACAATGCTCTATTGTCCTGGTCAGCACTGCTGTAATTTATGTAAAGATACTTTCCCCCCTTTCTGTCTCTTCCTCTTTTTCCCACCCTCTTTCTGGCCTTTGTTGTCCCACTCTTTCTTTCAAGGAGGATCTTTCCTCTTTTTCTACCCTCTCCCTTTCGACCGCCATCCTTCATCCTATAAGACCCCTGTGTCTGCAGACCCTCCGTCAGCCACTCCACGCTTTGGTTTTACAGTATATTGATTCTCTTTCTATTTCCTGGCTTCATCATGCTATTCCACTCTTTCAGATCGGGCACATTGACACATTGAATATGGTAAACATCCAAAGTTTTAAAAAGCAAGAATAAAAATGGATAAATAACAATAAATAATTGATCTAGAATTTAAAGCAGCAAGGTTTTAACAAACTGAATGTCTGTATCCCTACAGAGTGATTTTGACCTTGTCAACTGTATTTAAAACTTAAAACCATACAACATCATAATTCTGACCCAATATGTTTAATTTATATTCAATTAACTGTCATAAGAACTATTTTTACTACTACTTGCTATTTTTTTTAATTAACTGCAAACTGTCCCCAGGCAATCTACCTCATGAACAGTTAATGTTCTCCCATTGTGCAATTAAAGTATGTGTTTTGATTCTGTATTACAACAGTGTAGCAGCACTTGCGAATCTCATCTCAACAGCCCATAAATTTAGTAAAAAAAAAAAACACAAATATATACATATATTATAGCTTCAGGCTTTTTTTTTTTTTTTTTTCAAAATAAATAGTAATAAGAAAAACTGTGTGTGCTTTTCTAACCCAGAAAGGGAGAAGAAACAAGAGAAGGGAATTGAAAAGCTTTGGCCTGAAACCAAAGCTGTAAAAACAGGAAAACGGTCATGTAATTTTATGGCCACAGACCATCTTTCCTTCCTTTTTAGAGCTGAGAGGACAAGGGCGGAGCCAAAAGCAAAAAAAGGAGCATTTTCACTTATACTCTCATGAATATTCATATAAATCCTAAAAAACTTATAAGATACACATGCAGATAAACACAAAAGCAGAGACTGGCTCCTGCTCACCAGGGTAGTAAAAATCAAAGTTGCTGTACCTGAATATGTTTTAATAACATTACATACACTACACGAATTAAGGCCAATTCACACCGCGCCGACAAACGCCAACAGACTAGTCTGTCGGAGTTTGTTGGATCAGTGTGTTACCCCTGTCGGCGTTTGTTGGCGTTGGTCGGAGTTGGCTTTAACCCGACTGAACATGTTTAATCGGCGTTTGTTGGGTCGTGGAATGTCTGAGCAGTGTGATATGATTTTCCAACAAACGACTCTCCCTGACTTGAAGTCTGTTGGTGTCTGTTGGGGCAGTGTGAACATGACAGTTATTTTTCATAAAATTCTAAATCCAGCGGTCAACGTGTCTGTTGGCGTTTGTCGGTGCGGTGTGAATTGGCCTTTAGGCTGTATCATAATTCAAGTTGTATTTAGTACAAATGCATCTGTTCAAGGTTAAGCTGTCACCCTGATTGACGTTTTTGTGTATGTTCTCCAACACTGTAGCTCACTTACAGCTATAGTAGTAATGGTGTCCGGGCAGGAATTCAAAGCCCAGGGAGAAGGGTGTGAAGCGCTGGATCTTTTCAGAGAATCTGACAGGGCCGTAGGGAGCGTACGGCTGGTTACACTCCCATCTCTTAATGGCCTCTTTAGTCTCCACGCAGCCCCTGAACTGGCCCTCAGCCACCAGGTAGAGAGCCAGAGTCTCCACAGGACCGCTCGACGGGTGGTCGGCAGGATAGTGTGGACACAGTATATCCAGATAATCACTCAGGTTGACCTGGACAGAGTAATCATCTCCTGTTAACCTGAGAGCAAGAGAGGTATAGAGAGAGAGAGAGAGAGAGAGAGAGAGAGAGAAAGAGCGGTATATTAGAGGGTGTATTTCTATCATGAGAGAAATTCATGGCCACAATCATTAAAAATGGCATTTTTCCAAGTCCACAGAACAGATGCGTCAGCATGATCTGCACTGAATCACACTCACATCGACACTCGCTTGGCCGCTCCGTGGACTATTTAGTGATCAGTCACTGCTGGGAAACAAATGCTTTAACGCGTCAGAAAATTAGTTAGTACCAGATGATACAGATAGAGGGATGCAGCGAAATCTTGTAATTGTAAAGATGGGCAAGCTAAATTAAGCAAGTTTTCATGTTACTGGAGTGATAGTGCACAATAACGCTGAAAGGAAAGAGAAACCCTGAGGATTTCAGTAAGGTCAAAAGATTCACACAGCAGCAGATACGGACCATGGTTTCAATAACAGCTTCATGCTAATTAGTGAGAGTTTCATTCTTTGCTTGCCACACACACAAAGTCAAAAGTCAAGTTGCACTAATAGGGGAAGAATTAGCATAGAATGGCCCTTAGTGGCTTGGTAAATAAATTCACGCTCCCATTTGTTTACACACTGTTGACTTTAAAAGGAAGTGTGTACAAGACACCATCAATGAAATGAAAGCGAGAAGAGCGAGAAAGACAGAGACAAAGAAAGAAGAAAGAACAAAATAATACAAATGAATAAAAGAAAACTTAAAAAGTTTAAAAAAGAATGAAAGATGGAGAGAGAGAGAGAAAAGGAAAGTAGACAGAAAGAAAGAAAGAAAGAAAGAAAGAAAGAAAGTGATCAGAAAGAACAACAAAAAAATAACAGACAGAAAGAATGACGATGAACAATAAAGAATGAATAAACAAAATAAAATATGAAAGGATGAACAAAAATAATGTGAGAGAAATATGGAAAAAAGACAGGTAGAAATAATGACAAGAAAAGAATGAAAGAAAAATAGGGAGAGAGAGAAAAATATCAAGAAAAAGAAAAAAGAAAAAGAAAGACAGAAAAAAGTAGGAACAAAAAAGATGGACAGAAAGACAGAAAAAGAAAGAAAAGGAAAGAAAGTGAGAAAGAGCAAGATGACAGATGGAAAGAAGGTACAAATGACAGAAGAAAATGACAGAAATTAAGAAAGGAGGAACAAAAAAGAAAGATAAAACAAGAAAAACAAAGAATGACAATGAACAAAAGAATGAATAAACAAAAGAAAATATGAAAGGATGAACAAAAATAATGAGAGAGAAATATGGAAAAAAGACAGCTAGAAATAATGACAAGAAAAGAATGAAAGGAAAATAGGGAGCGAGAGAAAAATATAAAGAAAGATATAAAAAAAGAAAAACAACGACAAAAGTAGGAACAAAAAAGATGGACAGAAAGACAGAAAAGGAAAGAAAGTACGAATGACAGAAGAAAATAATGACAGATAAAGAAAAGAGGAAGAAAGAAAGAAGAGGAAGAAAGAAAGAAAGAAAGAAAAAGAAAGAAAGAAAGAAAGAAAGAAAGAAAGAAGACAGCCAAACAGACAGAAAGACAGACGGAAAGAAAAAGAAAGTTTGCAGCCAAGTTCACAGGTACTTAAGAAGTGCAGATCAACTACAGACTGTGGAAAAACAGGTGAGAAGCAGAGCAAAGAAGCAGCGGAGATGAAGCGAGACAGGAAGAGAGGTGAGGACTGAGAGAGAGAAGGGTTAGAGAGCGGAGAGACAGACACATGGAGGGAGGTAAAGAAAGGGTTCTGTTTTAATTAGTGGCCCTAGAGAGAGTTTGGTGGGAGACAGCAAGACGACAAGGAAGAAAAAGAAAGTTTGCAGCCAAGTTCACAGGTACTTAAGAAGTGCAGATCAACTACAGACTATGGAAAAACAGGTGAGAAGCAGAGCAAAGAAGCAGCGGAGATGAAGCGAGACAGGAAGAGAGGTGAGGACTGAGAGAGAGAAGGGTTAGAGAGCGGAGAGACAGACACATGGAGGGAGGTAAAGAAAGGGTTCTGTTTTAATTAGTGGCCCTAGAGAGAGTTTGGTGGGAGACAGCAAGACGACAAGATGGATTTTAATTGGTCTTTCTTGACTGCGAACGTGCACGTGTGCCAGAGAAGTTTCGCGAGCGAGGGATGAGAGGAGGCCACGGAGGAGAAGAAGAAAAGACAGGATGTGAGAGCGAGGTGGCCGGTCCAGGTCTGTCACTGGGAGTCTTTTGTGAAGAAGTGGCAGAGCGAAGGAGGCAGAGGAAGTCTGAGAAGGAAAGAAGGGAGGAAGGGAGCGCAGACGGGCAGAAGAATGAGGAGGGGGTTATCCAGAGTTAAGTGGGTGGACAGAGAGACGACGGAAAAAGGCTAATGAAAGGCTCCAGACCAGAGAGAGAAAGAGCAAGGGAGCCAAACAGATGGAGTGCAGAGGGAGAAACAGAGAAAGTTAGAGAGTAAACTAGGTATCTGACCCACCGTCTATGACCTAGTTAAAAAATTACCTAATTTTTTCCCGGTGTAAACTCGTTACAGAAACCAGAAAATACAAGATGTGGTCTGGCTGAGGTCATCTGTCCATAAGCTTTCATATTGAACCAACAGTGATTCGAGATGAAGGTAAAGATCATCTCTTCATCAAACTATCATGTCATTGTCCATCCAAGATCTGACAGCAAATGTCATATTTACAAATACTGCAAGCTTGGCCAGTGATGAGACATCCATAAGTTGCTAATTAGCTGTCAAGCAAATGTAATTTTCATCAATCAGGCCCATTTGAAGAGACAATCATCTCATGTCATGAGCGTTTATGGTGTCACAGTTGAATAAATGAACACTGGACCAGAATAAATGGAGTTTGTTTGACCTTTTCTCTTGGTTTTCTCAAGATAATACATTTAGAAACTAATCTGAGGATCAGTTTCATGTTTAATTTCATTAGAGATCGGTACTGAATATTTATTGGTTAAGGAATAAAGAGTCATTCATACCAAAGACGATAATTATAACTATAGAAGTTTTAATAATTGTTCTAATTCTAGTAGAATACTGAAATCCATACCACAACTATAATGATAACAACGTTTGGTTGGAATCATTTTCAGAATTTTTTTTTCCAGCAGATGAACGATAAAAACACTGACAGCCAATCAGATTCCACCTAGCTTTTAAAGGGATAGTTCACCCAAAAATGAAAATTGTCATCATTTACTCACCCTCAAGTTTAAAGAGAATTTAAAGTGATAGATGACATAACTGCAGCACTCGCTTAGAATAAACAAAAAGATATGGTCTGTTGGTGTGTATGCCAGTATAGTTTTTGTTATCTTAGTGTGAATGGGCCTATATGGAAGCGTTAAGCCTCAGAGTGAAAAATAAAATGGGTAATTGTGAGATAAGGATTAAAATAAAGTCAGTTATGAGGAAAAAAGTTGCAGTTGTGAGATATGAAAACCATAGTGAGATTGCAATTGTTAGAACTGTTAGAAATGTTAAATATCTTCGCATTTGTGATCTGAAAGTCTAGAAAGTTTCTTCAGTGGTGGAATCTTACTGTCACAGGTTATCTGTGTTTTGTGTTCAGTTCTTTCTGTTGTTTATGCTGCTTTCATGCACTATCGGAAATGTCCTACTTACCACTTCTGAAGTTGTAATTATGAGTTTGCTGCGTTCAAGCGCTTTGTTGTTATTGAATCATGGAGAATGGCCCATTCATGATTTTATTCTTGCCTATTTCGTGGAGAAATCTTATTAAAGTGAAAATGTACTGAAAATATTTAGTCAACATTCAAAAGGTTTTGAATAAGAATGTAGCATCCCATCCATTAATAACCATTTAAACATTCGCCGCACTAGAAATTCAGCTTGCTGACAATTCTGAAATTTTGGTCAAATAAATGCCGTTTAGGCTGTGTATAATACATACAATAAGCATCAAATGGCTATTTATATACATAAGTTTACATGACTGTAACGGCAAGAGAAAAAAAATGTAGATGTTGTGGGAAAAATAACAACTATGAAAAAAAAATTATATTACAACTATGTTTTTCTCCTCAGCAATGTTTCAAGCTTACGGCCCCCCAACTTGCAAACTTGGGTATCAAAATGTTTCCCAGTTGTAAATATGAATTGACATACATTTACACTAGCTTCCATGTGTAACAGCATGCTTTGTGAATGATTCATTATGCATCAACCTTTAAGCCTTAAAGGGTTAGTTCACCCAAAAATGAAAATTGGCTTGTGTTTTACTCACCCTTGAAGCATCCTAGGTGTTTATGACTTTCTTCTTTCAGACGAATCCAGTCGGAGTTATATTAAAAATTGTCCTGGCTATTCCAAGGTCTATCATTGCTGTCAGCAGGTGTTGCAGTTGAACAGTCCACAAGTCGTCAAATAAAGCGCGTGCATTCATAATAAAACGTGCTTCATACGGCTCCGGGGGGGTGAATAAAGTTCTTCTGTAGTGAATCCATGCGTTTTTGTAAGAAAAATATCCATATTTCAAACGTAATAAACACTTTTATATCACTTCCGCCAACTGTCATAAGCGGAAGACATGCCGGCGGATGACGTAGTACGTCGGCGTTGCGTGATTAGTGACGAACGCGGAGAGACAAC